TGTATCTGCGCAAACTAACTGCAAAATACAACACGCTCTCAATGGCGGAGAAAAAAAAGTTGAAGATCCGGAATTAGGTAAAGTGTACTATGTCGACGGCTTTTGTGAAGAAACAAACACTATATTTTCTTTTTATGGTTGTCTTTATCATGCATGCCCATCTTGTTACGATTTAAGAAACGATCATCCCTTTTTTAATGAGAAACAGATGGCTGACGTATTTGATGAAACAATTAGGCGACAAAATAGACTTTTACAATTGGGTTACGAGGTTAAGACGATTTGGGAACATGACTATTGCAAACAGAGTCAATGGGTTTAAGCTATTTAGGGACGCCCAAAGAGATGAAACAATTGAATATATTGATTTTACATCGTTGTATCCTTACGTTAACAAAACAAAAGTTTATCCTATAGGTCATCCAACAATTATTCGCGAGAATTTTGAAACAATTTCGAATTATTTCGGACTAATAAAATGCAAAGTTTTAGCACCCAGAAATTTGTATCTTCCAATCTTACCTGCACGAATAAAGGATAAACTCTTTTTTCCTTTATGTAAACAGTGTGTTGTACAAAACTCTTCAGTGTGTACTCATTCGGAAAATGAGCGTGCTTTTTGGGGTACTTTTACCACAGTTGAAGTGTTGAAAGCTATCGAAAAAGGATATAAGGTTATTGAAATTTTTGAAATTTGGCACTTTGAAAACACAAGCTCGGATTTGTTTTCGGATTATGTGAATTACTTTCTCCGTATAAAGCAAGAGAGTTCAGGATTTCTGAGTCGTATACAAACTCCTGAGGACAGACAGAAATACGTGGCCGACTATTATGAAAACGAGGGAATACTGTTAAGGCATGATAAAATAGATTACAATCCAGGCTTAAGAGCATTGGCTAAGCTATGCCTTAACAGCTTGTGGGGTAAATTTTGTCAAAAAGACAATCGACTAAATACAGAATTCATTAATGATCCTCTACATTTCTACAGACGTTTGAACGGGGCCGACATTGAAATGCACGATCTTTGCATCTTGAATGATGATTTAGTCGAAATTGTCTTTAAGAGAAAGCATGAGTATGAAGTAGAAAACAAACTAACAAATATCTTCATAGGAATTTTTACAACTGCATTGGCTAGATTAGAACTTTACAATGTGATGGATCTGTTACAAGGAAACCTTTTATATTGCGATACAGATAGTTGTATTTATGTAAATAAGCCGGGGGGACCAAGGCCACTCTTAGGGGATTACCTGGGTAATTTAACAAACGAAATCACTCAAGAACATGGGGAAGGTAGTTACATTACAAGATTTGCATGTGGGGGTCCAAAAAATTACGCGTACGTTGTAAATAATGGGAAAAAAACATTGTAAGATACGAGGTTTTACTTTGAATTTTAAAAATAGCCAAATTCTTAATTTTGATTCTATGTATGAAATGATATGTAACTATGTACGTTCAGATGACGAAAATAAGAAAAATAAAATAGATGTTGTAAATAACAGAAAAATAACACGAGAAAAACGGACCCGTCGGCTTGTCAACAAGAAAGAAGTAAAGCAATATCAGATCGTCTACGACAAAAGAATAATTGTCAACTCTGGTGAAGACCTTACGGATATTATTGGTCACCAACGTCTAACTCTGCTAGTCCGTCTGTAAAGCACATTATACGTCTTCCAGATTCAATGCTTTATACAATGGTACAGCCCACGGCACTAGGGTGTAGAGTAAATCATAGCTGTGTTGATGACAAAGCTAACGTTGGGACATGTAGTGATGAAGAAATGGAAGACGTTTTGGTGTATAAAGATGTTGTTAAGGATGCTGATGACGGTGATATGATTTTTGAGAATGAAGAAAACGCAAACGATATTAGTTTATTGGAAACTGATGACGAGGAAGATATGGATTTTGAATCAGAGAACGAATATGATAAAACATTTATAAATGACATTGAAATGTCTGAAGATGAAAATAACGTTTCTTTTTATCGAAGGTTTAATAGTAATTATCAATTTAATGCTTATTGACATCGTATTAATATTTTCAAAGATACATTTAAAAAGTAGTTAATCCATGTCCATCATATTTTCAATGTTCAATTTATAATAATGATGAATATTTACACCCTCATCATTCTCCAATTGTTTGATATTTTTCGCAATTCTATCTTGAAGGTCGTGGACCATTACTTTTGCATTTGCACGATAAACGAAGTATGTTGGATGTTGCATTGCTTTTGGTACGGAGACACGATCCAAGGTTTCTAACATTATTTGTGCCAATAGAATAATGTGAAGGCTTTGACTGTTCATAATTCTTGTTGGAATAATATTGGCATATGCCAAATGCCTTATCAAGTCTGTTATACAATGTTGACTATTGCTTCCTTGAGTTGAAGAAACCCAACTTTTCACAACGTCTTGCCATGTGAACGACATGATTAACTAATCAATTGATGAAAGAAAATGTTTGCGATTGCTTATGTGCTCAGTGTTTTAGAGTCGAACATCCAATCATCTTCTTGTTGATTAGGTATTTAACTTGTTTATAGAGTATATTTAATTGATATATGCATGATGGTATATAGTCTGTTGTAAAACATTTCTGTTTTCATTTGCAAGACAATGGACGTGCGTTTTAAAACACCAGCTAACTTTTACATTTGCGGGCAAAGCCAATCTGGCAAGAGTCATCTCGTTAGGTCGATGCTTTATAATTTGAATGAGCTGTTTCACCCAGCTCCAAGTAAAATCATTTACTGCTATGGCGAACCTCAGATGGAATTTGACGAAATGGTTAAAAGGATACCGAATGTAATTTTTGTTGAAGGGTTCCCTGACAACTTGACCAATATTTTGGAAGGATGTCAAAACTCTTTAGTCATTGTAGACGATCTTATGTCAGAATGTTCTAATGATCCACGAATGTCTGATTTATTCACCCGTGGGTCACATCATCGAGGGATATCTGTCATGTATTTAACGCAAAATTTATTCCCTCCGGGTAAACAATCAAGAACGATAAGCCTTAACTCTCATTATATGATTATTTTTAAAAACCCGAGAGATTCTCTAGGTATTTCAACTTTGGCCCGTCAAATGTACCCTAAAAATGTCAACTACATTTTGGAGTCGTTTCAAGACGCTACGAGTCGTGCATACGGTTATCTCATGCTCGATTTACATCAATTAACACCTGACAATATGCGTGTCAGAACAAATATCCTGCCTGATGAAAAGCACATTGTGTATGTACAAAAGCGATAATCATCGACATGAACAATCATTTAAGCACTATGTCTAAGCGAATTAGGAACAATCTTGCGTATTTGCAAGTACTCGCAAAATCTAAACCAAAAGTTCGAAAGGTGATAATTGAGCATGGACCGTCCGACATTATTGTGTGCATATGTGAATGTGCTATCAATGTTTTAAAAGGAACTGTTCCAGTATCTGCCAGTCAAAAGCGAGTGTTGTCAAGGTACAAGAAACACCTGAGAGCACTAGCTAACAAAAAAATCTCACGAGCAAAGAAGAAAAAACTTTTAAATCAAAAAGGAGGAAATCTGCTGACTGCGTTACTACCTCCGGTTTTGACAGTGCTAGGTAGTTTGTTGACAAAATGAAGCATGCCAAGCGTATGATTCTTGTACCTGAAGATGTATTTAACAGATACGAAAAACAACAAAAACTTGAAACTAGTCCGATCATGATGAATATGATGAATAAAGACTCGCAGCTCTCGCATATTCTTCAACAAGACGACATGAGTGACGATCAAAGACAAAAACTTTTTAACGCAAACTTTGAACAATTCCTTAAATTGAAGCAACAGAAAGATAATCAGATACCCATGGTACGTGTGGTAGACACTGTTGATGGGAATGAAAAAAACATAATAAGTGACAACGAAAATCAGACATTAGCTGACTCTGTCATTGTACAAAGTGTGCCAAAAACTATGCGTGAGCGGGCGAAAGCAATATTGCAGCGCCTTAGAACACATCCAAGTATAATATCTTGGGACGGTTCTGGACAAGTCAAACTTGAGGGAGTCACCATTCCGCAATCAAACATAACAGATCTAATTAGCGATGCTGTGAGAGGAAGGAAAAATTTCAATCCTAAAGGGTCTAAAGAATTCTTTCGTGTTTTATCAAAATAAACATTCCTCGAGATTTGGTTAGGAACGATATGAGATGGAAGGAGGCTCAAATGGAAACTTCACCACGTGAAGAAAACGAAACAGTTTATCCTAGTTCATCAAAAACGAAATTCATAACGCCCAAAGCTTCCACTACACACAAGAAAACTCAATTACGTTGGTTAAGCTATTAATATGTCTTGTAAAGTTTTTTTTAAATAAAATCGCAGTTGATATCATTTTCCTCCTTGTTGTCAATGAAAATATGTAAATACAAAATGCAAGCAATTAAGTCACACAAAGAACTTTTTTATTGATTATTAAACACTTCAATCTTTTACAAATAAGTTTGTACTTGACTGATTTCCGTTGTTAGGGATTACACTAGTTTCTATTTGAAAATGTTTGTTTACAAAATTCGATACCTTCTTATCGTTTTCAACAGTATTACCATCAAACATGCTTACAATTCTACTCATACTATGGCCTCGCACTCTTTGGCTTAGGTAAAATATACAATATTGTCCACATACATCGGTCCAAATACTTTGTAATTTGCGTGCATTAAAATCCCAATCATAATGTTTCAAATAGTCTCTAAAGAATTTATGATAAGTCTCAGGCGACTGGCCATAGCTGTCGAAGAATTCGGCTTTTCGTTCAGACGGAAAGTAAAATGCAACCCAATGACTTCCAGGTTTTCCGCTGATATCGGTGTTTGCTATAAACCCATTCGGATAACTTTTGATTACTTTAGGTAAACGATTGGCTGGAAAAACACCAAGAAATTTCTTGCTTGTAACAGGATCCGATCTCAAAGCAGACGATATTTGTGAGGTGTTCATTCAACCGATGTAGTCATAGACAACATTCCTTTCAGAATCGATAAAGATCACGTTTTCAAACTCTCCATAGCACACAAGACTAACAGCATTAGTTGGTGCTGTTGAGAATTGTATGTCAATGGCAAGATTTCCTTTTTGCACTGTATTAAAATGTTCTCCCGTACCACACATATCAGGCGTCAAATCAAAACAGTACAAAGCAAAACCCTTTAGAAACTCGTCACGATCAATTCCATTTCCGGCGTTCAAAAACATTTTTCCAGTGCCAGCAAATTGTGATAGAAATGCTTCTATGTATCTAGGATTGTTACCAAACGACAGCTTGAAAGGTTTAGATGGTAGAGATTCGCCGTTTACAGAAATGCCTAAGGATGAAACGTTGAAATGCTGGAAATTGAATGGGTTTAATTTATAAGCACCATTGAATGCAGCACTTGCAACAAGACCGACGACAAGTGATTTCGGTACCAAACCGTTGAAAAGGTTATCTTTTTGCAACGACGGGTTTCCTGACGGAATGATGAAACTTTTGCAGTCCACACGCCTTACAGGGTAAACGGCTGGGCTTTTTTTCAGTGCAACTTCGTGAGACATAGCTCTACTAGGATTCACTTTAACTTTGCGAACTTTTAGATAAACATCCACCAGTTTCACTTTAAATGCTGCATCGTCCTCGGATGCCATTAGGGCAAACTCGTCACTGGTACGGTTCAATACCACTTTCAAATCAACATAGCTAAGCAGGAGGCGTTCCCCGAAGAAAACATCACAAAATATAGGGCCTCCCATTTCGACAATTGCACTTCTCGCACTAAACTTACTTCGTGTTTTCAAGCCTTTGTTTGGACTGGCGTTTGCTGGGTCGGCAACCTCCATTTTTGAAGCTTCGTCCTTGTAAAACAACGCAGCTGTCAGCTGGGATTGTTTAGCTGATGGACCATAATTCAAAAGTGTATCGATATATGCACGATAAGGATAAGTTCCTGTCGCTTGGGTTACTAGCTTCCTTTCAAAACACATCAACTTGCTTAAACAAACTATGCAAGAAATTGTTCACCGGTCCTACTTTAGCGCCATCGTCGAGATTTCCACCGTCAGCTTTCGTTACTTTTGCTCTGACCATCAACATTGTGTTAGACAAGTCAACATAATCTTCTGTACCTGGCGCTAAAAAGGTAATCGGACCGCTTTCAGATACACTAGAGACAGGTGGATGGTCTATCCATCGCCCCTTTTCCAAACTGGTTTGCGTTGGGGTACGAAAAATATATCAAGTTCACTTTTGTACATTCTGCTGATTTTGGATGAACGAACTCCATATTTAACCGAAAATATCTTCTGCTTCTTTAGCTGCTTTATGTCTCTTGGCTGAATGGTAAATGACATGAGAAGACGATGCTTTTCTCTTTTAGCTGTTTTTGCCTGTTTCTTCTGGGGTTTTCCTCTTCCTGTTTGAGCAAACTGTTGTATACGGTTTACAGCTTTTTCCCTGTTTCTTTGCTGCTTGATTAACACGAGATTTTGCAGACTTTTTAAAACTTTTCCCTGAGATAACATCACCCAAAACGTTTGCACCTGTATCGAGGGCAATTTTACCTAGAGCTTTTGCGCCGGTTTTTGCCAAAGGTATTGCAGCTCTAGCCAATCTACGAAATAAACCACCAAGACCATAACCCATCTGCCCATAACCTTTTTGCCAGGATGCTCCTCTAAAGACAGGTTGTGATCCGTATCCTTTTTGCTGATTGAGATAATATTGAACATAACGGTTTGTTCTACTCATATTTTTTTCTTATGTAAAATAAGATAAGGATTGTTTTCTGAAATGAAGTGTCACTATCGACTTCCCTCGTTCAAATGCGATGGGATTTCCTAACTCGTCCCTTAAGAGAATTTCGATGTCCTCAAAAGATTTTGTTTGCACGGGTAAGTATTGGATATTAGTGAATGTTCTTGAAACAATGTCTCCATATTTTCCTTGAATAGCAACTGCCTTTAGTAATTTTACATTGACGTCTCCAACAACTTGCGGTTGTACAATGTTGCAATATACATACATCATGACGGATCCGTGCAAATCACAAGCATAAGGACTTTCGGTTGTTTTAAAATCTCTACGTCTTTTCCGCCAAAGCCGAGTAAGACCGACATTCGTTGATTAAATGATATTTTGTAACCCTGTCTTACATGCACTTTAATTTTTTCTGTTCGCGGGTCAAAGCTCAATTTGATATTGTCTTTTACTTCTTTGTCAAGAGTCTCGTTAACTGATTTTACTAGGTCGAAGGCTTTTCATACAAGCCATAGTCGACAAATACCGGAGTAGGTAGACCTGTTTTGTGAGTTACATATATATGTGTATCCAAACCTTTTTTCAACGTGTACCATGTATGAGGATATGTAATTGAATACAATCCTACTTCCCAATTACCATTTAAATTCACAACGTGAGGTAGTTTTACGCGATAACCTGAAATCTTATTCTCAGGAAATACAGAGAGAGATGCATTACTAGGTAATGTCAGATAGAAGTGTGTCCCGCTCATCTTTAAGGTATAATGTGAAATGAAAAAATCATGAAAACGGTTACGTTTTATATATGTATTTCCGATGCTGGTACCCATGAATTAAATTTGTTAGGGTAGCCAGACCACTTTACAAAATATTGTACATTGCCCCCTCTACCACGTTTCTTAAGTATTTTTTCAATCTCATAAACATCGTCTTTCTTGATGACTTTTTGAAGTTCTTTTTCATAAAATGTTCCTTGAAGTTCGTCCCCTTCATGATCTTTCAGTCTGTATACAGGAGAATTGCGCGGTATTTTTTGACTTACAGTGAAAATTTCTTTTGAAAAATTCGGTAAATACCCCTTCTCAAACCTTCGTTTTATTTTACTTATTCGTACTTGGTTACCTATATTAAACTTATATTTTACATGCGAAGGTTTATTTAACTTGCTATCCCCGTATAGATTTTGCCGAATTCTATCTTCATTTTCACTTGTAACGTTGATCGGTTTTTCTTTAATGCTGCGATGCATGCTATGATTATAAGAATACAGTAGATCAGGAAGCATGTCAATGTATCTCATGGTTTTGTTAGCTGTGAAGTAGCGCCACATTTTAGTTTTCAATGTACGTATCAAACGTTCAACGATGGATGCCTTCGTCTCGTTAAATGTATTAAACAAGGTAACGTTTTCTTCTGCCAAAAGTTTCTTAAAGTCTCGATTAAAAAACTCTGAGCCTTGATCCGTTTGAATGTGTGTCGGTTTACGCCCTGATGACAAAATCTTTTTAAAAGCTTCTACCAACGACGATCCTGTTTTCTTTTTTAATGGAACAGCCCATGCATATTTGGAAAAAACATCGATACAGATAAGAAGATAGCGATAACCATCATTATACTTTTGCAAAGATTGCATGTCTGCAAGATCCAATTGCCACTGGTCGTCAATACCACTCACTACGACACGATTTCTTTCAAACTTTCTTCGAATAGGTTTATGCAAAGAGTATGCGTCTTGTTGCATGAGCCATTCTTTAATTCTTTCACGACTAATGTCATATATTCCTTCTGCCTTTACATCGCGGTACAAACGTTCAACACCTCCGTAGCTTCCAGGACGTTTTGGATTGAAGTATACACCGGCTAAGTACTGGTCAACGTTACTCATGACAATGTTCTCGTGATAATAATTTTGCAATTAGATGTCAATTTCTTTTAACTACTCATTATCGACGGGTTCAATGTTTTCAGTTACAGGCAGTGTTTCTTCTATCGCATTATCTGTTGGAAGTTTAATTGCGGCGGGTCCATAATTTTTAACAGTTTTACTTGTGTATCCTGCTTGCAAATGACCCTCAAGATTGAGATCGTTGCGTCCGAAACTTATACCCAAGCGAAACATTTTCTGACGATTATGATTTTTATCCCTTTTTGCATTTCTATTTTCACGTTTGCTGCTACCGATTCCCATTTTCACAATGACATGGTCATAAAACAACTGAAGTCAAAATGCAATAACATTGAAATTTATATTTTATTTTTTCTTTTGTCAAAGCAATTACATAGTTGATTTGTATTTCAGTTTACAACTACAATCAGCATAGTCAAAGAGATGTTGAAAAAAAGGAGGACGTTTTGTCTCCGTGTAAATTAACATTAGTTCTACCCAAGTAGCACTAAACAGTTTGTCAAAATATGTCTTGTGAGAGTTCGAAGGTCCACAGTTCTTTAGAAACTTAAAGGCTTCACATATTCCATTCCAGACATGTTCACGATTAATTGTTTCGACTGCTCGAGCTGCAAAATTGAACCAACGATCTTCCTCAGTCATTATTTCTAAAACGTTTTGATACTCTACCCAAGGATCTGCTTTACTTTCATCCTTTTCAGCTCTTCGTAGCTCTTGAATCTTTTTACTTATAAAATCGACGAAAATCAAATTGATAAGATCGCTGTGACTAACTTCTTTAAACTAAACAGTGTCTGCATATATCTGATTAAACATGTGTGCCATATATTTTGTCTTTTTTCAAAACGTCCAAAAGCAATGCAATAGTGAACAACGCAAATAACATTTTTTAAGGCGATAGGTCGACTATATAGTGAATCGTGTAATGAAATACACAATGAGGGCTTTAAGACATTTTATTGGATGCTTTAATAAATTAGATAATATTTCTTGTCAATTGTTTCATTTCCCTTTATTATGATAACCTATCACATTCAACATTCTCCCGCTAAGTTCGTTTCCGGTTTACACGCGCGCGCCCTGTTTACTTCCTAGGACTGGAAACTAATTGACACGGGTAAGAGCTCCGTTTACTTCCGGGACCATACCTGCACCATAACTACTGTACAACACGTATAAATTTGTAGATCAAGTTTCACAAAATTTTACCCGATATCTGACGCATGTATCTCATACATATGTCACGCATCATCAACGACACGTATAAATTTGCTGAGCAAGTTCCACAAGTTTCACGCAATATTTCACTCATATTCTTATCTACTATACCTCACGCATCATCAACAGCTGTGCTGAAAACACTGCATTTTCTGAATCACCCGTAACTAGGAGCATGCAGGCTGCAACAAGCTAAAAATTTGATTTTGAGATAAAAAAAGCTGACAGCCTAACATGTAAATTTCGTCATAACATTTATTAAAGCTGTTTTGCGATAACTGATTACATTATTTTTGCTCTACACATACACTTTCTTTTACATCTCTGTAATTAAGATACCCATAAAAATTATAGAAAATCCGATAATCAACAACGTCAAACTATGACAAGACGTCCTTTTAAAAAGCTAAACCATCAACTAAAGACGCAACTAAAAACAGAGACTGGCAAAAATGTTTCATGTTTTGACTTCAATGGAAACATTTTCAAGAACTTTTACTTTCTATTTTCGACATTTTCTCCCAGAGACCAAAATTTTTTTGTCCATCAGTCCATAGACAAGAGGAATAATATGGCATGTAATGTCAACACTCTAAGCAAAAGGGTGATGTAGAAAATTACTGATGATGATTGATCTCTTTTCACTTGAACGAGGAATGCTGTTCTTATAGGGATATTTCCAACTGTGCAGAAGATGGATGTCATGAAACAAACAAAGAATATTTTATGATATCGACGATGTTTTTTTTTGTGAATTAAGAGGTGAGTGCATTCTTATCTTGTAAAACGGTGAAATTGTTTCTTTCGTTTTGAAGTACTCGTGCTATTTTACCATAAAGTACGGCCATTATTTACAACAAATTATTGCACGTAAATTTATTAATCTTAAAAATATCATCCTTCTTTTCAATGGGAGCATGTAGCATAACGTTCACCCTTTTATTTTGGCAATTTCTCCAAAACGTCAGACTTTTTTTGTCCAACAATCCATAGATAAGGGGATTGACTGCATGTGTTGAGAAAAACCATCATTTGTAATGACACTTTGTCGAAAAAATTTAGTCTTCTCCATGTAAATATATCAATTTTTGATTTAGTTCATTCTGTAGGCTGACTTTTTATTTGTCATTTGATTAGAGAGGAAGTTACTTGCCTGTTTTACATCTTGGACACTTGAAAGCACAAAGCTCAGAAGCTGAAGAATCAACGAACAACAAAGTCTTACTGCTTGAATATTATTTATGTCAAGTACTTTCTGCAAACTTTTCATTCGGAAGTAACTTGCAAGTGAAAACCAGCTATGACCGATGATTTCAATAAACAAACATGTAAAAATTTTGTAAAAATCCCAAAGTTCAAAAATCTCAAACAACGTCAGGCTGCTGTATTATTAAGGTTTTTCATGCCATCACTGAATTATTGCTTATTTAAGCGGTTAAGGCATTATATCTCCATGGATTGTTTGCATTTAATAATTTATCTGAATTCCAAACATTTTTATGTATTATAAGAGAACATCGGGATCAGCAAAGCCGATTGAAAAAAAAAAATTCGTTAAAACTGTTTGATCTTGAAAATGTGCTCTATTGTTGAGCAAGTTTTTTATGTTTTCAATCTGTTTTTGATTTAAGGGTTTTTTACTGGATCCGCTGGTTTTCCCTCAGAAAAAAAACGATGCCCGTATTTGGGGCCAAACGATGTGTCGATGGTAGTATACATTCAATGTGTTTCAGTTGGCCTTCGGTCTAACAGTTGAACACTGTTAATTCAAAATGATAAAACAGATTAAAAATCGAGAATAACAAATTAATCTACTTTTTCCTAATCATGATCAACTGGCATAATCTTTTTGCTTCATTGCAATT